CGGGACGTGCCTCCAACTCCTCACCCACCTTATCCCTTACGATTCGGTTTATTCGTGCTCGCTTGATTGCCAGCGCTCCCCTACCTAGCACACACACACACACACACGCACACACACACACGCACACACACACACACACACACACACACGCACATATCAACGCAACACATCACCCACCCCAGGACACGGTGCAAGCTGCGAAGCGGGCGCAGATGCAGCGGCGAATGCGCGGGAAAGCGGCCGAGGAGAAGGAGGAGGCTGCGACGGCTGGCGAGTTTACACTCGACGACTCGGCAGCCCTGGACCTGAGCACATCTGCTGATGCAGCGAAAGAGGGCGGTGAGAAGAAGAAGGAAGGAGAGGAGGAAGAAGATAAGAAGCAGGAAGGGGAAAGCGACAAGAAGGAGCAAGAGAAGCAAGCAAGCGAAGCACTCGCAACAGCAACAACAACAACGACGGCACCAATGGGTTACGTAAGTTTGAATGAAGATGAACAGTGGTGGAGTGACAAGAGTTGGGGTGGAGGACGTAACATCATGGAGTCACAGGCGGGTATGTTTGTTTGCTCTCGCACACACACACACACACACACACACACATGCGCGCGCAAACGCTCTCACTCACATGCACATGTGGACATCACAGATGTCTGCTGGACTGCTGGGGAAAACAACAGAGGAAGACGACGACGAATTCGATTAGCAATCAATATGCGTGTGTGTGTTTGTGTGCGTGCGTGCGTGCGTGCGTGTGTGTGTGTGTGGCATTGAGACTGTTGTACTTGAGGGCAACGCCAACTTGTGTGATTTGTTGGTGTGAAGGTGTCACTGTTGTTGTTGTGTTTGTTTGATGCGCGTTTATGGTTGATTGTGTTTGTGAACAGTGGTGTCACCAAGAAGTAGGCAACACCAGCCAACCAAGGGTCAAGTAAAAGGTGAACTAACAAGCGATGGAATCAGTGTGTGTGTGTGAGAGAGAATGGGCCAACGAATGAACAACACGCCCAACGAATGAATAACACGCCCAACGAACACGCAAGAGAACATTTGTGCGTGTGTGTCAAACGCTCTTGGTGAACATGACCAGAACCACGGAAGCGTACAGGGAGTGGAGCTGAACCAACGAATCATGGTGTGTGCACAGACGTGGCTTGGACACAAATCGTTGTGGACAAGCAAACAAGTGTCGTGTGACTGCATGACGAGACGATAAGATGGGAATGGGATCAAGGGAGCCAGAAACGTAACACGAAAGGAAGATGGAAAAGGAACGAGCTGGGCATCATCATCATCATCATCATCATCATCATCATCATCATCATCATCATCATCATCATCATCATCATCATCATCATCGCCAGCATCATCATCATCATCATCGCCAGCATCATCATCATCATCATCATCATCATCATCATCATCATCATCATCATCATCATCATCATCATCATCATCATCATCATCATCATCATCATCATCATCATCATCATCATCATCATCATCGTGATCGCGTACAGTCTATGCAAACACGAGCCCGTGCGGCATACGGGCGAGGCGACGCCGATCCGCCGACGACCAATATGGATCCCACGCCTCCGGTCTGAAATCGCAGGAGATGATGAAGAGGTTTGAGGTTGAGGTGTGAGGTGCAAAGCGACAGTGGCTCATGTGCGTTAGCGGGCAGATGCGTGGGAAAATAAGCATGAGGGCACGAGCACAAGATACAGACAAAACATACACGACACCAAATCAGCAACGCACGCACGCACAACACGGCCAAAGCGGCTGTGGTCATATGTATGCCTGACCTGGTGACCTTGAGCATGAGCTCGGCCAGGAGACTTGCGCCGGGCCGATCTCGTCGATTCGGTTTGATCGTCCTGGTGACGCCGACACACGCACGCGTGTTGGGGCGGGGGGGGGGGGATGGGTGTGCAGTGGTGAAATCGAATGCAAGAGCAACTGCGCTGCACACGCAGGCAACTCAAAGTGCACACATGTACACACTGCACCCACTTACACACACGTACACTTATACATGCGTACACTTACACACACGAACACAAACCAACGTCGCCGCCACCATATGACAACCACCACCACCACCACGAACAACACCGACGGCGACTGACTGAGCAACGAGGGCCTTGATCGGGTCCCACTTGATCTTCAGCGCCTGTGAGGAGAGTGCACTCGTCTGCGGCGGCTCCAGCGTACATGCAGAGAGGGCAATTTTGCCCAGTGCCAAGACATCATCGGCCGCCTGGTGGGGAGGCAGAGGGGTGTGGTTGGTGAGAGAGGACGTGCGTTCGGGATTGAGTGAAAGAGAGTGAAGGAGCGAGCAGATAGGGAGAAGGGAATGGGCAGTGCGGGCACCAACACACACGCACGCACGTTGAATCGCGCGCACATAAACACGCACACGGACAGGCGGACAGACAGAGAGACAGACGGACAGACAGGCAGACAAACAAACAAACAAACAAACAAACAAACAAACAAACAAACAACAAACAAACAAACAAACAACAAACAAACAAACAAACAAACAAACAAACAAACAAACAAACAAACAAACAAACAAACAAACAAACAAACAAACAAACAAACAAACAAACAAACAAACAAACAAACAAACAAACAAACAAATACCACTCACGAGGTCGGCCAGGTTCTCGCGATCGGAGACGCAGACGGCGAGAACATCGGACGGAACGGCTGCAAATGTCTGCTTGACGGCGCTTGCCTCACGAATGCCGCACAGCTTCGGCAGCATGTCTGTGGTCAACAGCACTTTGTCTGGCGCAAGGCTGTGTGTGCACCGGGGAGAAGGGGAGCAAGGGATATGACATGAATCATGTGAGCGGGCGGTTGTAAAAAACAAAACAAAAGGCAGACCAGCAAGCAAGAAACAGTCAGTGTCACACACACACACACACACACACACACACACACACACACACACACACACACACACACACACACACACACACACACACACACACACACACACACACACACACACACACACACACACACACACACACACAC